ATTGAGGTCCCCGCCCCATCCCCGCCCCATTGCCATCCCTAGTTGAAGATTTCATTCATTCTGATGTATGATGCAAATGCTTCTCATTTCATCATGAGGGGGAGTATAATATAACGAATGAAATATCAATTCTGAAGATCGAGAATCGAAAAAAGACTCAAAGGAGTGTGAATGCATTGACTGAAGATTATTCTGTGCTACAATGCTTGAAAGGAAATTGAATGTGAAGATCTCATCTTAACAAGAGTTTACTGAAAAGGATTTCTCAATAAAGAGAATGTTTGTAATGAAGAATGTTAGTGATTGTTATTCTGAAGAAATTCTTTGAAGATCATATCTTGAAGACTATTTCTGAAGACTGTTGTTGTTACAGTTCTTCATGGTGAAAAGAAAAATTGTTTTTGATCTACATTCGAGGGGGAGAATGTTGAAAGTTTTTCTTAACAGAAGATCATTTGAAGATCATCAAGCGAAGAATGTTAGAAGATTGTTTTGAAGATGTTTAAGAAGTCATAAAGAGCTTAAAGCGTCAAAGTTCAAAAAGAGATTCAAAGAGTGCAAATTCTTTCAAGCCTAAATACAAAGGGGGAAAATGTTATGATTGAATTTTAGAGTTAAATTGTATTCGTCTTGAAAGGTTTAATATTGTAATTTTAGAGTGTTTGACTTTGTAAGTCATGTTTGACTTTGACTTGTGTCTTTATTGTTTGACCTATAAATAAGTTTTGTCTTGTAGTGTGAATTGTAGAAGAGAGCTTAATTGTAATACGTATACTTGAGAGTGAAATATAAGTGTTGACTATTTGACTTTTCCTCTCAAGACCTTCTTTGATGTTCTTACATGTTCATATAAGGATTGCCATAGATTCATAAAGATTATTGAAGATTGATCATATTATGGGACACACAAACATCTACTAGTTCACTAGATATATAAAATCCCAAAAGTCAATGGTCGGTGTTTGATTCCACTCTAATTACAAAGCGGGGACCGTTATCCCCTCATATGATGATCAAAAATTGACTCACGATTTTCGTAAGTGGTAGTTGCATTTGATTGGTATTACAGGTGGTATAGCAAATAAATATGGATAAAAAAAAATCAAGTGATGGAACCATTTGATTATAAGAAACAAATATAATGATATTTTTTACAAAATCAATAGTGGTCTATTGGTTAGCTCACTGTTTTTCATATGTGAGTTCGTGTTCAAGTCTTTTACTTTCAAAAACATAATAGGTCTGAAATTAAAAGTTAAAAACTAAGAAAATAACACTAACAACATTCGAACTCGAGTCTGGGGTGGAAGAAAAACCTTGCAAACCAACTCTACAAAGGAAAACTCGAGTCTGGGGTAGAAGAAAAGCCTTGCACACAACAAATTAATATGGTGACACTTTTCACGACCGTATAATGTTTTACACTACGACGAATGAACAATATTGTTACACAAACCATCATATGCTCTACATTGGGCTCATTAGTTCAGTGGCAACTTCATCTGGCTATTAGCGGCAACATCACATTATGCACCAACCGATGATCATATGCTACTTTGCATATAACCGTTTCGGTAATCATTCATAAGCTCTCTTAACTACTATAATAACTACCTATAAAAGAATAATTTATGTTTTATTACATATACAAACTTTTCTAAGAACAATCCTATTGTGAATACTCATGATTCTGCTTAAAATGAGGATGAAATCTTGGATTATCCCAATATAGATTTCGTGCAACCTAAGGTTGTAAGGTTTGACTTGGGAAGTGTCCTTGATATACGATCCTTGATTCCATCCGAGTGATTGTAATCACAAACTGATGGATGTCGAGTCTACCAAACAGTAAGAGCCTAATAGCTTTTGTTACAAAATAAATTGTAATAGCGCTGGTAGGGTCGATTTCAGAAGGATTGTGTTGTAAAATATGTTTGACTTGTAAGAACAAAACAAAACTGAAAGTAAAATGGGGGTTTTTGCTTTTTTAATCAACATTAAGCATGCAAATCCGATTCACGAGTTACAATCATCCATGAGGACAAACTGAAGTGAAAAAATGAAAGTAATACCGAGATTAAGATGAAAATGATGCAATTACTCTTGATCTTCAAGCTCCAATTTGCCCCTCGATTTAAATGTATAGAAGTCGTTGTGCCACTCTGGTTTGTGAACTTGGCATGGTAAGGTCGTATGGCGGATAGCATTTCGTGTATGGAAAGTCTTTGGCTTTCTTTCTTCTATGCTACATTTGTATGTGACCATGGCATGCTAGTGTCGTATAGACCTGTGTTCTACTATGCTCCAGCCAGTTGTTCGTATAACCCATTTAAGTACGCCAGTCATTTTTCAACGTATTTTCTCTATTTTATTAGCTCGTCATGGAAAATATAACAACACAATTAGTAGGTTCTTCTAGCTAGGGGTGAACACGGGTTGGGTTGGGCGATTTATGATATTTTTACAACCCAACCCAATTATGGCGGTTTGGGAAATCTCAACCCAACCCAACTCATTCAAAAGTATAGCCCAACCCTTGCGGGTTAGGGCGGGTTGGGTTGAGTTGGTGGGTTACTAAAACTCATAAAAATGGCAAAAGAAATATGATAAATAATACTAAAAATATACCCAACAAAGTCATTAGTTATTACAATCATCCAAAAATCGGCAAACTCGGCGCGTCAAATACGGAAGGTTGACGGTCAGGCTAACTGGCTAAGGCCGTAAGGGACGGACCAACGGAGGGTTTGTCGTGGAATGAAGGAATCTTTGGAAACTGAAATTGTGAATTGTGAATTTGTGACGGAGAAGAAACTCAGAAAGATGTAACTTGAAGCAGGGACGTAGGGTTAGTGTTTCTAATTTCTATTTCTGCTGGGTTAACACATAAGTGGTTAAGGGCTTAAAGGGCTAAGGCTTAAGGGTTATTGGGACAAAGGCTTAAGACCTTAAGGGTTATAAGCAATCCAAATTCCCAAACACCTCTTTAATTTTTGTAAATATCACATATATATAAATATATATATATATATATATACACATAATTTTACTAAAAAATATATATTAGCGGCGGGTTGGCGGTTTGGGTTGAGTTAAGTTATGCTAACCCAATTTCAACCCTTCTAATTAGCAGTTTGGCGGTTTAACGGTTTGGCGGTTTGACAGGTTGGGTTGAATTGGGTTGTTAGCAGGTTGGGTTAGGCAGGTTTCACGGGTTGACGGTTTTTTGTTCACCCCTAGTTTTAGCCACAAAAATGAGTATTATATTGGGAATTCGGTCACAAATTACATGACAAATTTAATACTATTTTGTGCCAGCTTGTTTTGTATGTCTTGTTTTAGGTGTTAATTTAATGATGAATAATTGCTTGTCATAGATTCATAGTATGCATACCAAAACTCAATACTTAGGGTTCGTTTACATAAACACTTATCTGGTAAGTGTTTACCGGTAAAATTCAACATTATTGTTTACTTACCTGGTAAGTGTTTACCGGTAAAATTCAACACTATTGTTTACTTATCTGGTAAGATTTGAGTCCAACAAAAGATATTGTATGTAATAACTTACCCGGTAAGCGCTAACCGTGGTAAGAGTCGTCATCATCACTTACCGGGTAAGACTCTCGGTCCTTGTCTTCGCTCGTACTACGTAAGATTTTTGGTTCTTGTCATATTCATCCGACAAGGTAATATGACTTGGCAAGCGTTTACTCAGGTAAGCATTTGGTAAATGGCCCCTTAATAAAACAATAAAATGTATAATTTATAATATGTAAATTGTTGTTAGGTTGTCTTGAATTGTCATCTTCCTTCTTAAAATAAAAGGGACTTTTTTATTTTTATTTGTTTTAAAATAAGTTTCCATTTTCAAAACTAACTGTTTGTTTTCCAATTTTATTGTTAATTATGAGATAAAAAAACTCATTAATCCCTCTGTTGTTAAAGGTAAAACTGCATTTAGTTAATTAAAAAAATGTAAATATAAATTTTTAAAGTTATGTGCATTTTTTATTGTCAACATTTACTTTAAGACGGAAGAAGTAAAAATTTGGTAGGACGCCTCTAAACGAACCCCTGTCAATTAAGTATTATTTCTTTTGCATTTTCAAGATATTGATTTGACCCAAAAAGGATTTGTAATCAAATAACAACCCTCTATTAAATACAGATCATAGTAAGATCAGAATTCAAATGATATGAAAGTTACAAATCAATTGAGATCTGATCAAGCTACAAATATTACATTAACTGGACAGATATTATTACACAAATTAAAAGTTTTATACTTATATAAATACCTTTGTGTTCATATTTCTCATACCCATGATTCTATATGAACCCTTTTTATTTGCTAATTAAACCTATTTTTGTACACTAATACACATCAACATCAACCTCTCTTACATAAATAATATCAATAAAAATATGTAAATGAAAAATGAAGTAACACCCAATAAACGAGTACAACAAAATATTGTAGAGCTATTTACTCGATCGCAGACATTTGTATGAGCAATATTCATCAATAAATGAATACATTTAAATAATGTTAATATATATGGAGAGTCAGATTCATATGAAAACAGTTACCAAATAAGATAATAAGAAAATGTTAGAATCACATGTAATTTTACACGACTTCGTGTCACGGGTCACGTTGTCCACATACCCTTGTAATTACCATTAGTGTAAAATCACATGTGATTTGTCTGTTTTCATGTTTTCTTATTTGGTAACTTTTCTCATTTGAAACTCCTATATATATATATATATATATATATATATATATATATATATGTAGTTATGTGTGTATATATATATATATATATATGTAGTTATGTATGCATGCCATGTGATGTAACAACAATCTTGCATGAATAAATTAATCCAATGAATCGAAGCTTACAAATGCATCATCACCCAACAAACAAGAAGAAAATCAAATCATTCCTTACTCTACTCGTTTTCTATCTACATTCCTATTTCTTTTTCTTTTGCTTTTTCTTTTTATTTTTCAAGAAACAACAAATATCAAACTACTCTGTCAATAGTCAGCCTATACATTTCAATTTTCTTTCAAAAAATCATACAATATATATAGAGATATAGATATAGATATAGATATATCATGGTGTGTATGTATATGTATACCAAAGCAGAGACACTGGTTCCATTTCATTGTTAACCCCCAGTTTTTGCACGTTTCATGCCGTTGGTGTTGAATGGCGACATGCTACTACCACTTGGTCCAGGACTATCTTCTCGGAAACTTGAGTTCAGCAGCGCTAGCTCTCTTAATTGCTGTCGTTTGATATAATCTTCCGACTCATCCTGCAAACACCAAAATATCATACGTCATCCATACAGCTTGCATCCACACCTATATGTATGTCTCTCTCTCTCTCTCTCTCTCTGTGTATATATATATATAGACTCGGTATCAAGTGAGAATGAAATTTTTGGCGACAACACTGAACTTCATCTACCTGCATTCACAAACTTTCATCTACCTATTTCTATCACTATTACTAAAATTTTAACAAATTCATGCATGTCACGGTGATTGAAAGTATGTAAAGTTCGTGAAGGTGATGAAGATTGATGGAAGGTTCACGTTTTTTTACCCCTTAGATGAAAAAATAATGCACCAAAGGCTCGGAAGCAATCTCACCTCCTCATGAAAAGGAGGTTGTTCTTACATGATCCCAACTATATATATATATATATATATACATATACAGAGAGAGAGAGAGAGTCAGGTTCATACGAGAATGATACCTATTTAAGAAAATAAGAGAATGGACAAATCATATACATTTTATACAAACATTACGTACCAAATCACATGTGATTCATGCGACCTTGCTATGCGGCCATAGGATTGCCCGCACACTTTTTTGGCTGTTAATGTAAAATCACATGTGATTTTTGTATGTAATTTGGCCATTCTCTTATTTTCTTAAATAGGTATCGTTCTTGTATGAACCTACCTCTATACATATATAGGGTTGAGTTTCGATGAGAATGGAAAGTATGGTAAGTAGTAAGAAGGGATCTCCACCCTTGGATCAATCTTAATTGAAAATCAACACTAATACGGTGCACCGAGATGCGGCTGATCAATTCCCATGATAAACACAATTCATGGGGTGGGGTGATATTAAAAGTGGTCAAGAGTTCATATCCCTTCTTAAGCTTCTCACTTTAACTTCTATTCTCACACGATCCTTCGTGTGTGTGTATATATATAGGAAGCTCCCTCTCTCTATAAAGGGCTCTTGTAGAGAGAGATTCAAAGGGGTTCTACATATTCTAACACAGAAAATGACAAGTTGGTTACCAACAGGTAACACGACAACTTTACTGTGAAAGGAGAGGTTCACAGTCTTTATTGGTTCACGTTGGAAGTCACATCGAAAGTCAAGTTGACTACTTTTCAAATCCAAGATTTTTCACATTGTTTTATGTTTTCAGAACTTTTGATGATTTAATCAAAGGCATAGCAAAACGAAGAGATGGGAGGAAAATGTGTTAGTTTCATAAGGAAACCTTTATCAATTTTGAAGTTACAAAAGAGCCCATTTGACTTTAAAAGTCAAAGAACAAGAAACTAGTCGTCATGCTTGGATTTCTAAAGTCAAATCGAACTACTTTCAACTCCAAAATAGACACGAGAAGACTATAAATTTTGAGGAAACATCAGTATATGCATCAAAAAGTACAAGAAATGGTGTTAAAATTGTAAGAGAAAGTGAATGTTTTGTGAATTTGTCACTACAAAGTTTGACTTTAAAGTCAAACAACGCAAAAAATAAAGAACAAAGAGAGTAGTTTATAAGAAATATACCACTGGTTTGAGCAACTCTTGGATAATTTCATGTGCCTGCCTCAGCCTTATCTCAACAACGCTTGCAGGTAAGTCAGCCTCGATCAAGATGTGAAGTGGCTCATTTAGATGCTCGTAGCCAGGTCTTCCCCTTAGCTTCTCTTCCTTTGAAATTCAAACCATAAATATTAGATTCAAGAAAGACACAAGCAGATTAAAGAAATCTTGGATTTTAGCATATGATAACCTTATCAGGATCCTTGATTGACCCTTTTCCTCGTATATACACACGACAACCTGTTGTAGCCTCTATGCGTTTTAGTGAGTTGCCTCTAGGTCCCAAGAGCCGGCCCACGAAGTTAAACTAAAAATCCAAAAGAGAACGTCATTTGAACTTCATTTCGTGGGTTCCCAAAATACTTCATTTACTTGATAAAACGAGAAATGGAGATATGGTTCACAAAATGGAGAAAGGAACCGAACCGAACCAAACCAAACAAACCCAATATGTCCTGGTCAGAGGTGGGGTCTAGGAGATGTACACAAACCCGACCTTACTGCAAACAGTAGAGCGATTGTTTTCGTGAAGGCCCATGGCTTGTGCAAATTGTTCAAAAAAGACGGATAAAACTTGCTCAAAAAAAATTATGGAGAGAGAACATAAGAACTTGAAATAAGAAAGGCGGTGCTAAAATTTGAAAATGAGTTAGAAGTAAGCAACAACATTTAATTGGAAGACAACCAACAAATAGAACATAAAAACAGAAGCAGATACAAGAAAATATAACCGACAGTCCGACACCCCTAAGTCTAACCTAGGACTCAGGGAATCTAACTGTTGGCCATGAAACCTTGCTATAACAAACAGAAAGTCGGGTGATTTTAAATAAAGATTTACAGCCATTGGAACATTTCCGGAGCTTACGTTGGGGTATGTATCAACAGGAATATCTAACCGCAAGATTCGCTTCACGGTGTATGAACTAGGACTTGCTGGAGCACCTCCTTGCCAGTCCATCGTCATTCCAGGGGGTCCACTTAACCTCTGTCATGAAGCAAAATAATAGCATTACTGGTTTCTTCTTACTTTTTGCCGATTGAAGCAAGTGCTAACACTATTAAAGAAAAAAATGGAAGCAAAAAGACATAAGAAAGAAACCCTAAAGATGACAACTTAACAAGTTCTAGCAGTAGTTATTTTGCTCAAATACAAATAATTGAAATAAGCAAAGAAAGAAACATCCAACGCTCTTTGAGTTATTTCTTATTTTGGTAGCTCAAGGTTTGTTCACAGAGGTCACCAGTTCAACTGTTCAAGTCCCCTCAGGTCCAATGGAGGTTTGCCTGACCGTTAACTTCAAGAACCTATGGGATTAGTAGAGGTGCACACTCAGTTAACACGGTTACAAAAAAGAACATCTTTGGAGTTTGTGAGGACATGGAAGGAAGTGTTTGTACTGTCTTCCTTTTGCAGTTTGCAAAAAGGTTGATTTTGTAACTCACGTCTTTCTTAGAAAGAAAGTGGAAAAACCCACGTATAAAATAATTGAAGAACTTGATTATTAGACAGATACATATATAGAGAGAGAGGGAGCGAGGTTCATACGAGAACAATAACCAAATAAGAGAATAAGAAAACGATCGAATCATATGTGATTTTACACTAAAATCACATGTGATTCACGTGATTTTAGCCCGCGACCTGGGCCATGTCGCCTGCACACCCTTGCATTGACCATTAGTGTAAAATCACATGTGATTTGGCCGTTTTCGTGTTCTTTTATAAAGTTACTGTTCTGGTTTGAATTCCTTCGTCCCATAACAATAACCACTTCATGATATTTCTTTGTCCCAAGAAGAGTCCTTCAAAATTTAACATTAAGATAAAGTCAAGATCCCTTAATCATTCTTCATTTTCAAAAATTGGGTGATGATAAAATGCTCAATTAATTTGTAATTAATTAGTCAAATTCCAATTAGCATAAAGTTATAAGCATCAACGCATGAGAAGCATAATTCATCTCATTTCTTAATAGACCCGAAAGAACTCTCCAAGTAACAGCTACATATATCTCTTTGTATGGCAAAAATGTAAAACTTTAAACAAAGCATAAGAGATACAACTTTTAAATGTTAGCCAACAATATAAACAAAAACCGAATTTTAGAGTTTAATAAATGATCACCTCTTGTGGAAAACCATTCCAGCCAGTCCCTGGAACATGTGACATAAGATCTGAAGAAGCCATGGGGCTCGGGCTTCTATGCCGCAGTCTATCAAGCTCGTTAATCCCTTGGCTTTGCAACATACCTGAAACCCTCAAGATTTCTGGAAAAAAGACAAGGAATTCAGAATGGTTAAAAGAAAAGACATTTCATAACCAACAATTAAACTCACACACACTTCTGAGACTTGAGCCCATTACCTCCACGAAGGTGGGGAAAGTGGGGTTACCGGGTACCACAGGGCCAATGGCCCTGTGGTAATAAGAGTTAATTTCACATGATGGTCAAGGGCACAAACAAAAGCCACCATCTTTATGTGGTGCATCAAACCTTCCCTAATTAGAGTAGGCAAAGCATTGGGTGTTTCACCATTTCTTTGTGAATATTACCTTTTTTGAAGCATGCATTATTCAATTTAATTTCATAGTTAGCCGATAGCCTTTTTCTATTAATAATACAATCAAAATAAGGTTGCCTGTTTTAAGGACTCCTCATGAGACAAATGTTTGTCCATTTTGGAAGATCATTCATTAGTTCCTACTTCCTAAGCATCCACTCGTACATGACCCTTCATGAGGCTTTGGTTTTCCTCTTTGTGACTTTTCCTATAGCAACCTCGGAATTATAGGATATGAAGATTAATTTGGACTGTAAACCAATCTGCCACTCCGCAGACGATAGTTATAGGAAGTTAAGATGACTGTTTACTTGTCTTATCCTTTAGTTGTCTGGTTTTCTTCTTATAACAGCGCAGTCTTTCTTCGATAATGTAATACAAAGTTCAGGAATTGTACAATAAAATCCTAGTACATCCCTTGATGTCCATAAACTATTGATCCATCCGGGTCTTTTGTTCCTTGTGATTATTGTATGTGATTATCTACGCCTAACACAAAATCTAGACAAAAGAACGACTTAATTACAAATCTTAGCACCAAAGAAATTGAGAAAGGTTTTGCTTTAGCATACCATCAAGCTCAAAAATCAACAAAGGCGATCTTGAGGAAACTCGGTTGGAATGGGCTATGTGAAGTGTGTTGTAGCTGATGGGATGATGAACAGTATGATTAAAAAGAAGGCTTTAAGGATAATTCATTTGACCAAACCCCAGGAGTACAATGGATCATGGGACATGAAGAACATCAACAAATTCATTTGGCACATGGGGTGCTACATCAAGTTGCTCAATTAGGAGGACGAAGTAAATATACACATACCAATCCCATACTTGACCCGGAATTGCAGCAAGTTGAAGTCAAAAAACATGCTTTCAGAATCAAGGAGACGTTAAAGGAGAATCAAGGCATGGGATGACCTAAGTCTCCAAAGTCCTTGGATGCCATAAGCGGTAAGGGAGTAAACCAAGAAACAAATAAACACAATGCTTTAGAAACTTTATGATACTTGCAATAGTTTAGAGCATCTATAATAAAGTCTAGAAGGTTCCTTCATCTAGATCCTTCCTTAGAGGTTAGAGCCTTCTATAAAAATAGGAACTCTCTCCCTTATTACTAACATCAAGTATGATAAGTGTATCCAAGTTTGAGAGAAACATATGAACTACCAAAGACTTCTTCCTATCCCCTTTATTTTCTCCACATAAAAGCTATTTATTGTTCTCATAGGTTGACTAATTGACTTAGGTCAATAGGCATGAATTTAGGTGGCACAAACACAAAGCTTGTGAAAGGTAAGCCTTTGACAATATGCTCCGTGTGCTCAAAAACACAAGTCCCTCCATTGTGATACTAGGAGCTTTGAACCTCAATAGGTCTAGCTAGCACACAAGAAAAGACTAAGGGTGTGTCTGGAATGCAGGACAAAAACTTGTTGTCCCACGTTTAACACGACATTAGATTGGAAACAAAACAAGACTAAACAAAATTCAATGAGACAATACAAGATTGGTAAATCACTAAACTACCCATGTCAAATTAAAACCTTAAAACTTTCCACAATTCTTTCACCTTCCTACCTCAATCTCGCCTGTCTAGCCCCATCTGTATACCAAATGCACCCTAAGGGGTTGTTTGTTTCATTTTCCATTAAGCCTAGTCCGGATAAAGTTGTCAATATGATATAAGATGAAATGTTGTTCGGTTGTGCTGAATAACCGGTCTGAACGTCAGAAATGACCATTTTACCCCCTCAGTCTATATTTTTGTCAAACTAAAATATTTGTTTGATTAAAATAACTATGTGGGATAGCAGGAGTTGTTTAAACTCAAGTGTTAATGGACTAATATCACCAATAAGCAGATAACAATGTTACAAACACTAAAGATTTTGATCGCACCACATGTTTACCGGGGCTTAAAAGATTCATTTCATGTCTAGAGCCTCTTTGTACTACTGCTCTAAGTCAAAGGGTAAGCTAATAATGTGTTCTTCAATCAAACCAGCTTCTTTTTTAGTGCTTATGAGCTCAATGTTTAGGGTTCTTGAGACTAGTGTTCTCTAGTTATTGGTTCAAGAATTAGGTACACAACTATGAAGAAACCATAAACCCCTTGAAATTAAGATCTACAAAATCAATCAAACCTTGATTCAAGAGCCTGGTACAAACGGGAAAAACCTGCATAAAAGGCTGGAGCTTCTGATGCTCCGCCAATAACTCCGACAGGTATTGACTGCAGAAACAAAACAAGAAATCAAGAAACCCAATCAAGATTAACAAAAGAGTGAAACCCAAAAAGAAATCACAAAGAACTGACGAACCTATCAGCATCTGTTATCTGTGGAGAAACAGCTCTTGCTGGAGAAAAGTTGGGACTGTAGAAACTTGACATGGAAAATCCAGCGTAAGCAGAAAAAGGGTAGCAACAAGAGGCAAAGAGGGGTGTAAAAAGGGTTCTTGTTTTGCTGATTAAAGGAGGTAGGCAGACTCCAAAAAGGGCTGTCAAATTTAGCAGGAAACTTGAGGCAATTATTTCTTTGTTTATTTATTTTTTGAAAATTATTCTAAAAATCCAAGATTTAGGAAAATAATTTTATTGTTTTAATACAACAAGTTGTCAGCATGGGTTTTGATGGATACTATTTAAGGTAACAAATAAAGGTAATAAAAACCCAACAAATATTCTCCTCCGTTCTTCTTTTTCAGTAATATGCGGGTTTTTTTGGATAATTGTTATATTAAACAAAATTCTACTTAAAATTTGTTTTTTTAATTAAAACGATTTAAATTTATATTCAGTAATTCATTTTTATATGTAGAATATTCTGAAAATATTCTCTACTTTTATTTATATATTGATTTTAATAAATATTTTTATATTTACTAATTTTTTTACATATTTAACCCATAACTTTTCTGTTATAATAAATTTCTAAATTATAATATTATACGTTAGTTTTATATTTTAAATATTAGGTTTTAAAATATTGGGTTATTATAAAAACGTCTATTTAAGGAAAAAAAAAAACATACAATTCTAAAATGGAAACAAATGTAACAAAATCTTAATTAGAAAAAAAAATAATGAACTGAATTAAGTTGTTTATTAAATGCTTATCAGGTAAAGTATCTTACCAAATAAGTATATTAAAGACTGAAAATTTTATTGGTAAGAGGGAAGACAAGTATCAAGAGTATTTATTATCTAGTAAATGAGGGTAGTGGTTTATCTTATAAGTGCTTACGAGGTGATAGATGTCTACCAACAATGGATACTAGAAAAGGTAAAGAAGAGTAGTAATTCTTATCGGTAAACATTTGATAAACAATCCATTAAAATAGTTTTGCTAAAATACGAACAAATCAAAATTGATTACGTTTTTGTGTCCTTTGTTATTTCTATTTTAATTTATTTTGACTTATAGGTCATTTGTCAAACGCTTATTTGAGTAAGTGACTACCAAGTCACATATCTTACTGGATGAATATAAAATAAAAAAAAATCAAGAATTTTATCCGATAAGAACAAAGATAAAAGTCGAAAGTATTACTTGATAAGTGTGGATGACGGTTCTTACCACGGTTAATGTTTACCTGATAAATTATCATACGATACCATTTTGATAAATTAAATTTTATCCAATAAATAAGTAATAATATTAGATTTTACCGGTAAATGTTTATGGGGCAAATATTTGATCAAGCGACACCTTAACTAAATAAATATAATATGGTGGTTTTCAATAAATAACGGCGGTCAGGGAGGGGAATTAACGGAGGGATGTGGGAGTAGGTCAAGGAACACGTGTCAAACATGCAGGCAATAAGAGGTTGGACCCACAGCCAGCATGCGGCCAATGGTCAATTGATGTCGCCAACGGAGTCTTAGCTGGAAGTACAGGGTGGCCCGACACCTTCCACCAAACGGCGCCGTTCTGTCCCCCTCAACACCACTGCAAATGCTCTTGTCGTTTTGCTGCTTTCACTTGTTCTTCCAACTTCTCATTTTACTTTTTACTTTTTACTTCTTCTAATTACAGTGGGTTAAATGCAACTTTTACTTCTTCTAATCTACTTTTAAAAAAATTTGTTTGCTATATATTTCCACCTTATTAAATTAAAAACAAGGACGGATCCAATAATTTTTGAATATGGTGGCACCATATAAAATGATTGCACCTTCTAGAATGAAATAGTTGTACATTTCACGAACCTAATTTTTTTTACCTTACCACGAAGGAACAATACGGTGACACGTGCCACCTAACCACACCGCTAGATCCGTTTATAATTAAAAATATACATAAAATTTCACGACGGCGATAGTTTTTTATTGGGTTTCATTCATTTGTTAAACATTAAAAATAATTAAAAGATCAATAAAACATATAAAAAAAACTTACAAAAAGTCACGTCACACCAACCGCAAAGTAATAACCAAGATTTTGTATAAAAATTCCAAGAATATGGGATTTTTATGAAAGCTCTCTCGAATGATGATTCATCTAAAGACCTACATCTTTTTGTATAAGAACCATGTATTGAAGATGCTCCGGTAATGTTAGGTTTTTTCAACTAAGATTGCTTTTCACTTTTTTTTCTGTTTACAATCATTGCCAACTCATCAATTTAAAAAACCTTAATAGACATTACGGTTGGCAAAAAATGATCTAACCCACTAATCCAACCCAGAATTAGTAGGTTGGGTTGAGATTTTCAACTCATTTAAATAAATGGGTCAACTCGTCTAATACATTTAAATAAATGGGTTTGGTTGAATTTTTCAACCCGTGAAAAGAAAGCCTCAACCAGAACCACATTCCTTTTGCGTGCGGATGTAGCCAATTGTTTGACTCTATTGGTCATAGTTTCCTGTTGTTGCGGCCGGTGCTCGTTTGTGCGCGCGTGAACCAACCCAACAAACAAGGAAAGGATGCCTCTCGGGGCATCTGAGAATGATTCGAGCCGTATGAAGGGAAACTCTCACGTAGAGTTTCTTTTTTTTTCAACCTAGTTTCAATCCATTTAAAATATTATATAAATTTATTTTATTCTTAACATTATATCTATTATTTTAGTTTTTTATTTTTTTATTCTTAAATAAATGGGTCCCAAATTTCAGTATCACAATTCACAACTCACGAGTTCACGACGCTTCGATTGTCAATCCTTCATACAATATTAGTATAATGAGTTTCGAGTCGTTTCGATCTTCAATTCTTCATCTTCTTCGGTCCTTGCTGCAATCTTCGCCACCCCTAATATACATTCACTATGACAAACCCTTTATCAATCTTTTTCAGGTTTTTTATATTTTTTAAGGGCCCCACCATCTTAACTTTATATTATTTATATTCTTATTATAAAATCAATATATTAAGACTTATACAAATATATGTATTTATATATAACAAGAAATAATATACAATAAACTTGGAAAAAATTATTTTAAAAGTATGTACAATAAAAAATAAAGATTAGTTATCAAGAAATCAGTGAAAATTGTATAAAAGTAGGTCCAATAAAAATAAATAAAGTTTAATTTATAAGCATGTACAATCAATTGTAAAAATTGAGTTATTAAGAAAAATCTATAAAAATATGTACACTAATTTTTTTATAAAAAATGTTAAGTTAAAAGTATATACTCTAAGGGGCTATTTACCCAAATGCTTACCCGGTAAGTGTTTACCAGTTGGAGTCAACATTATAATTTATTTTATCGGATAATATTGTAGTACATCAAAATGGTATCCTAAAAAAATTACCCGGTAAGTGTTTACCTGGATAAGAGTCCTCACTCTCACTTACCGGTTAATACTTTTCATCCTTATCATTGTTCTTACCAGATATAATTTTTGGCCCTTGTTATATTCATCTGATGAAGAAAATTGTTCAGTAAACACTTACTAGGTAAACGTTTAGTAAATGACCCCTAAATAAGTAAAAATGGGGTTATTACAAAATTCATAAAAATCGTATAAAATTAACTACAATAAAAAAAAGGTTAACTTAAAAGTATGTAAGATAAAAAAAAAATAACTGAAAAGTACGTAAAATAATAAATAAAAATTGGATTATCAAAAAAATATATACAAATTTAAGACATCAATTCAAATATATAAAAATATAATTACAATTGTATATTTCTGTAATATTATTTATTTATGAGTAAATTACGTTTTTTTAACCTGTGTGATTTGTTGAAAATTTCTATTTGCATCTTAGTGGTTTTGAAATTACAATTTTCATCCATGTGATTTATAATTCATTACCTTTTTTATTCTTATGATTTAAAATTGATTACTTTTTTTTCGTCCTTATGGTTTACAATTCATTTCTATTTTAGTCATGCATACTTAAAGTGATGTTTTGAATGCAGGGACAAAAATAGAAATGAATTGTAACTCATAGGGATGAAAAACGAATTTTTGAAACCACCATAATGAAATCAACAATTTTTAGCAAACCACAGGGACAAAAAACGTAATTTACTCTTTATTTATTAATTTTATTTAAATATAATTAATTTAATTATATTAATAAATAAAACTGATTAAATATGAAACTTTTATAAAATTCTATAAGGTTAAAACTAATTAAATACGAAAAACCTCTGAAAAAGCAGTTACAACCTATAACGAAAAACCTCCAACGAAAAAGCTATTGCTACATTGAATTGTGGATGCTGCAACAACTTGTCTAAAATAGAGAATCAACTTTTTGTTTCTCTATAATGTTCCAACAGTTTCCCTATTTTATCCATTTATCCACTTCATTACTTGTGATGTTTCGACCCGATTGATAAGGGTATGGATAAATAAAATTTTATCCATTTATCCACTTAACCATTACCTGTTTACCCGAAATTTTAGTGGGTAGCATATGGATAAACGGGTTTTCGTTATCCATTACCCGTTACAAAATTATATATATAGCCAAATGTTATTTTGAGAAGTGATAAATATTTGAGAAGTAAAGAAGTGATCGTAGCCCTTCATCTAGTCAAGATCGGATTTGATTGGTTAATAATTGCGACTTTGACTGGTTAAAAATTGCGGCTATGTGAAAAATAGAGAAGATTGTTTCATAACTTTCACAAGTAGGCGGCAAACGGGTTCATATATGAACTCGTGTAATTCACATATTTGAACTATTTTAATTGATTCACATATCCACCATCTCCACCACCACCATTGTCGTGTAATTCACATATGAATCTGTGTAATTCAAATATTCATCATCTACTGTCGACCGCCACCAGCAGTGGTATCCACCATCTCCACATCCACCATAGTCACTATCATTCACTAATTACCAATGCCTCTACCTCCACAGCCATTATTGTTACAACAATCTTCACTGTGCCTTCACCAATTGATAAGGATCTTTCAAACCGAATAAAATATAATTTCTCATTTGTATGAATCAGGTTTTTTCAAATTATCATCAATTATATCAAAATTTTCAT